TGGGAGCCAACAAAAACCAGAGATAAAATTAATCTAGCTGCATGTACCTGTAAACCAAAATAGTGGATTACACAATTAAAGAATATAAAGTTGGCATCAAAGGCAAAAAATGAGAATGGTAAATTCAAACCAAATGATATTTGCATCAGTTTCCCTAGACACAAATACAAAAGGAAATGAATAACACGTGTACATATCCTGAAAACAAATCACATATGCAGTACAAACAAGAGCAACATGTGTCTACCACAACGAGGACCAAAGCCTCAAACTGAGGAACATAGCCTCAATAATATTACTTAACAATGACGTGGAGGAAGCCTTAAGCTAAAATCCAAGGACAAAGTTTCAAAATAACCTATGAGGACAAAGCCTAAAATAAATTATGAAGACAAAGCCCCAAAATAAAATAGGAGGATGAAGCCTCAATGTAAAATATGAGGACACAGCTTCACTAAAAATCTGAAGATGAAGCTTCAAAAGAGAATAATTTATGAGGAGGACCTTATAATTGTTCTCAGCCTGCAACAAAATAAATAGTATTGCAGTGCCCCAAACACTGATCACCCCTGAGGGAAGGAATATCACAGAGGCTCTAATAGTTAGCACCATCAAAAGGGGGTGGTTGATGCTCACATAACAAGTAACAACATGGTGGCTTGAACAGTTAGCACCGTTCTAAACAGGGTGGCTAAAACAGTTAACACCCGTGAAAAAGCTAAGAACATGGTGACTTGAACAGTTAGCACCGTTCTAAACAGGGTGGCTAAAACAGTTAACACCCGTGAAAAAGCTAATAACATGGTGACTTGAACAGTTAGCACCGTTCTAAACAAGGTGGCTAAAACAGTTAACACCCATGACAAAACTAAAAATAATGGTGGCTTGAACAGTAGCACCATAGACAATAGGGTGGCTCAAACCGTTAACACCTGTGAAAAAGCTAACAACATGGTGGCTTGAACAGTTAGCACCGTAAAAAATTTGGTGGCTAAAACAGTTAACACCCGGGAGAACGCTACTAATATGGTGGCTTGAATATTTAGCACCATAGAAAATAGAGTGGCTCCAACAGTTAACACCCGGGAAATACCTACTCCAGTGGAGGAACAAATCCTCACAATGAAAAACACTGGCAACAGAATGTCACCACAATAACCCTGATAAAATTATGCTCATACCTCCGAGATAACTTTCAAGAATGGTTGCTATGTAATTTCTAAAACCTTGTAAATGCGTTGAGGGAATGGAACATGAAGTTTTAGCCGGTAGGGTTGGATAATGTATCGTTTTATTTATTTATTTATGTTTTTTTTGGATAATAATTAAAGGTTACAAGTAAGCTGAGTCCAAAGGTCAAAAAGGCTCAAACGTGCAAAATTGTAACTTCAGAATATCAATAAATAAAGTGCCTTTACATATCGTAACACAGCTAAGATTATGAATAAAGGGATCCATTACTGGGCTAGTATAAACAAATATTTCAAATTAAAAATCGATCGAGTGATATTTTGCGTTAGTTGGCACCAGCGATACAACTAGCTGAAGTAGGAGCACGAGGTACCCGAAGTATGAACAACGAACGGAATAGCATACACGCCAGTGTAACTGCCAACATTTAACTGGCCGATTGAACGAAGAATTCGATTTTATATTAGCATAAACGACCGTAACGTGTATCAATTCGTGCAATCAACAAGACGATCGTGTGCACGCACATCATCTCAGATCTGTGCACATCAATACAGCACCGAGAGTAAGCGGTAATTAAGCCATCTGGCAATAATCTAGTACTTATCTCAAAGAAGAGGTGATGCGCGGTAGATAAGACCCAAGAAGATCAAAGGAGACTGATAAATCACCAGCATTCTGCATCCAAACCTGCCCACCGTCTAAAAATGTTTTCCAACTTTCTTGTTGCAGTGAGCAGAGAGGCCTTGTGCCTCGCTTTCATGTCTTAAAAACACGATATATAATGTCCCGGATGGCAGGAACGCCCCCTCCCCAGTAACTGGAGAGATGACACATTAATCAGTCACATTAAGCATAAAACCATTTATTTCTTTCAGAAATAAATTTCCTTTAAATTGTTGAAAATTTTCAGTTAAAATGAACTTAATTTAGAAATATTAAGTTGGCAAAACAAAGAGATTTGGCAGTCAGTCACCGTGTATGATTTATTATCTTTGGCGTTTCCTTTGTTAAAGAATTTGATAACGTTGTTCTTCAAACGCGGTGTGCGTGCCGGTACCAAACGGAAATACATTCTAGCTCTCATTTTTTTTTTTTTTTGGTCACTTTCCTCTGTCTAGAATTTTCAGTGCTCTTTTATTTGTAATTCAGCAAAATTTTTCTCCTTATTTTTAGCACTATAATAATAGTATAGTATTATTATTATTATTATTATTATTATTATTGTTATAGTAATATTATTACTTGTTCAATTTTAACCAATCCTTTTTTCTTTTTCTTTTTTTTTTTCTTTTTTTTTTTTTTTTTTATTTAAAGTGTTTTTGACCTCTCCAACTTTACTTGCAACTCCAAGTCACCAGTTTCCTGAGAGACCTCAAGACGCCATGGCAGTCTGGGTGGAGGAGTTGACCGAAGACAGTTTCAAAATCTGCCTCAGGGAAGTAAAGATTTTCGACGGACTTCACAAAGGCATTGCTATTGTGAGCTTGAAATTTTAAATTGCTTTTCAAAGATCTTTTAAGATTTCCATTCAATTATTTTTTCTGCAATGAGCTGCCCAAAGACGCTTATTTGCTCTTAAGTTTATCATAATCACAAGAAAAATGGTCGAAGTTATCATAGATTTGTAAAGTTCTTACGTATTAAGTTATAGCAATAAATAAATATGCCAAAATTTTAAGTCCAGTTCTTTTTAATATGTAATTTCGAATTTGGTAAAACATTGAAGAAAAAAATACATTCCCCAAGTATATTTCTGTTACCATTTACTGCTTTGGAAGTCAGCTGGAACGCTTTCTAGCTTGAACCTTAGTATAAGTAATTAAACCATTCAATGAGCTATATTTTAGTACTCGTTTAAATGAATTGAAATCAGGTTCCTTCTTCCGTAAAACTTTAGTGTTACGCAGACCGCGGGGAAGGGGCTTTTGCCAGGCTCCAAACTTAAGGCTCATGCTTAATGAGTACCAAGGTTAGCAATATTAATCTTCCTAAAACTTGTCTGGAAACATTTGTCCCCAATGTCAAAGTGTCCGCTGCCACCGATTGTTGACAGCCATATTTTGCAAAATTTGGAATTTTCACTTTAATGCCTTTCTTTCTTTTTTTCTAGATTTTCTGATTGGCGTAAATGATAAAAAATTGTTAAAGAGAAAATTGTAAAAATGCAATCAAGGGTTTTGAAGAAAATTAATGTACAGAAGTGTTGAGATAATTTTCCAAGAATGTTCATTTCCCTCTGAATTTTATTGCTGGCACATTAAGTTTGCTTTCAGAATATTCTTCTACACACAAATAAGCAAAACAAATACATTTAACTTGTTCAAAATCAATTAAACGGTGAAAATGTATTCTTCAAATATCCTAGGGGTGTCTATTTAAGATCTGGAATTCAGGTACAGTGTTCAGTTAGTTTTATTTGAATTGACAACAAGATAGACTCTGTAATATCGGTAAGGCTTATCACTACGAAATTGTTAGAAATATTCTTTAGTGGGACAAGTGTCTTCAGCCTTCCCTTAATGACACGATAGTTGCAATTGAGTTGAATTCAAACACTCCATCGACGAAACTGGATTGAAATGCTCTCATTTCTTACAGATGCATGCCCGATTGAAAGTTCCAGTTCCTCCTGTTCATCATCCTGTCACTTCTGTTGTTAAGGGCATTAATCAGTGTTAGCCTACTTCGCAATTTAATCAGACACCTTCCCATTTAAGTGTTTTCTATTATATTCAAGCTGAAGTCACACTACATAATTTTGTTGGTCAGTTTATCTCAAGATGTTAGGTATGTTGAGCACTTTATTATGACCAAATTATCTGGTCTAGCTATATTATCATATGCGGTTTTTTTTTTTTTTATAGGGGCGTGCTTCTAACTCCCCCCCCCCAGCTTAATAGCAGACACCTGATTTAGTAACATCATATGGCAAAAACGGCTTCAAATTTCTCAAATATGATTTTTTATTTCATTGCTACAGAACTGGATGGCTTATACAAACCTCAGTATTGGAAACTTCACATTAACTGACAGCCTCTTATTTACGAATTATAACTTGTTATCTCAGCAAGCTAACCACGCCTTTTGCCAGGTACGAAAGTAAATTGTTATGTTGGTAAATGGCCGGAGCACTAAGATTTATTTCCATTAAAAAATTAGAAGACAGGATGATGTTCCTTTTTAACAGAACCAATAAACAACTAATCCTTAAGTTGTTCTAAATATTCTGCATTGTGTGTTAATTCATGGTCAAGAGTATTCTGCGAAACAAGTCGAAACTTGCTTGTTAAAGTCTTTTGTTCATTTTATTTATAATTCTCATGTTTTGCCATTTATCGTGAATAAAAAAGTTGTTTGTAACAAGCTATAACTTTCTTTGACAGCATATCAACTTTACAGATGAATTCTATGCTCCTCCTGTGGTGATAGTGACGGCAAAACGCATCAATAACGATTCGCGTTTGTCTGGATGTAACGCAATCACCGCTTGGGTCGAGGTAAAATTGTTTTACAAACTTGCAGATAGCAAAAGAATAATTTAACGTTGAATCTTAATAAATATGATCAATCCATGCAGTGATAAAAGAAAAGAAATCCCAGATTGACAAGAAAGACAGAAAGTGTAAGAAAATCTTTTCACAAAGTTTAACGCCGCGCTAGTATCTGTTATTAGTGGTTTTCACGTGACGTCATCAAAATGAATACAAATTCATCAGTTATAGAGCAGCATAACCCATATTTTTACAAACTGTCTGTTCGAAAGGGCTCTTTATAGTTTTGACAGTGATAAACTACGCTGTTAATTTTTAACCTTTTGCGTGACGCAGCATTTGAAGGATCTGGAAGGGCCCAGAAAACTGTGATTTGGGTTAGAAAATTGTCTCCTTTTTTTGAGATTGTGCCATCCCAAACACAGACATTCTTGTTGGTTTCTGATCATGACCGCTATATTGGTGCCCCTCTGAGGAACAACAACATTAAGTTCTGTAAATTTGGGGAAAAAATTGTATCAGTATTTCCGCATAACAGGAAATATCACAAAGGCCTGAGTCTTTGCAAAGGTTTTTTGAATATATTTATTTATCTTCTTTCATTTCCCAGATTCTGGACTTTCTTTATCACACAGAATCGATTTCCATTTTTGATGGAGTGACAGTGATAACCGGTTCAAAGGAATTGGAGGATGAATAAAATGTTCAAACCAAATCAATTTTTTTTTAGCAGCTACGAGTCCTCTTACTGATTCCTAAACATTCAAACAACTTTTTATATCTGTGGTTAACCGTGCAGTTTTCGTCAAAGTTTCTCATCACCTTTACGTTTTGATCGTTTGTTTAGTAAAATTTTCAGCACTGCTTTGGAGTAATAATGTTATTAGCAGTCTCGATTTTCTACCCTTAGTACACTTCCACCGCAAAAACAGAGATTTGTGTTCGAGTTTATGAAACCAAGAGCAAGGATACCATAAAAGTCGATTATCTGATTACTGGAGGTAGGTATATCACCCAGTAATGTAATAATCGGCCACTAATGTATTACTAACCACTAATACGGTAATAAAAAAAGTTAACAACTAATGTGATAACATTCTAACCTTTAATGTAATAAACAACTTAACCACTAATGTGATAACTTTGCGACCATTCATGAAACAAACTCAAAGAGAACAGCTAATTGTTTTTTTGAGATTATTAGGATTTAGAAGATCATATGGTGCACGGCAAAAAAATAATCAGACGACCCCCTGCTTTGATGTCAAGTAATGCCGTTTCAACGCAATAGATCATTTAGGACTTGTTCCATACACTTCCCTTTTACTTGAAGAATTTAAAATCTACTTCTCTTGAATTATTTCTTAGCTAATTTAGGCTCTAGTGTAAAGGTTAATATTGTCACTTTGTCTCGTTAACACTAACAGATCCTTTAGATAGAAGAACGGTGTTTAATTTATAAGCGTCAGTTCAACATGAATTCCCGATAACAAGAATGATAGCTTCCATCATTCACCTCACGGTTTTTCTCTTTCTCTCCCTCGCCATGTTCGGTAAAACTTCGTTGAAATTAAAGTAAAAGCAAAAAAACAGAAACAACAACAACAACAAAACAACAATCAAATAAATAATAAATAAAATAAATAAATAAATAACGATTTGCAGGTAGCACATCCACATACTGGTTCTTCGTCTACCTGATTCCTGGTTGAATTGGAATTTAGAAATGCTGGTTTTTGTGGAGAGAGGAATACCGGAGCACCCGGAGAAAAACCTCTCGGAGCAAGGGGAGAGAACCAACAACAAACTCAACCCACACATGGTGTCGACGCCGGGATTTGAACCCGGGCCACATTGGTGGGAGGCGAGTGCTTTCACCGCTGCGCCACCCCTGCTCCCCTAAATCAAGCCCTACTCTAGATTAATACTCATATAGACCAAATCCAAATCTCGGTATGAGCACTTAATTCCGTTAGATATATTATGCACACAAAAAAAATGATAATCATGCATCCTTTGTTTTACACAGACCTGGATCCTTGTATAGATGGCGTACACTGTGATTATCATGGTCTATGCAAAGCTTTTGGGCCATACGATGCCCGCTGCGTGTGTATAGACAGTTGCCCATCTTATCAAGAGCCTATCTGTTCTTCTAACGGAACGACGTATGACAACAAGTGTCTCTTTAAGCAGGAAATGTGTTTGTTACAGTTGAACTTTACTGTGCAGCATCCTGGGAGCTGTGAAGGTATCAGTGATCTCGTAATTTATGGTATCAATTGTTATTTAATTCAATCACCCAAAATTAACAACCCCTAAAAAAAGAAACGTCAAAAAGTCTTCACTAACAACGTATCGATATCACATCTTCTGAATCTCTATCATCAGTACCAGTTGAAAGTCGTTTTAAAGGTATAATCTGGTTATTAAAGCGAAGCTTCCCTGAATATATTTCTATAGCAAAAGCACAAACGAGGAAATTTTACCGTGACGCGATTTAATTAAAGCAAAAAATGCGTCGTTTTAGTAACGTAAAATGTGAAAAACTGAGGTCATTTAGGAAGGTGAACAGTTTATGACTTTAAAAATATTTATAATCTTGTCTAAAGAGGAGCTCGAGACAAATCGCCTCATCATAACTCGAACTCTCTCATTCTTTTTTTTTCTTCTTTACATTTGCATTTTTGTACTACTTTGCAGGGTTCCCATTTCAGCGTGACCGGCGTCACATGCCTCATATACCTTCCTTGGGATACTCTCACTGTGAAGTAATTGGTTTCCGACCATTTGTGTTCTATCCTGATAAACCCGTTCAAGTGCAGGTAACTGTCAATCACATCGATACAAGGGACACGAATTACGTCCACGATGCTGCTGTGTCGTGGATTGAAGATGTGACCTACAAACAATTCACTGCGTGCGTGATGGCGGCTGGTTTCAACGAGCGCAGGTCCCGTGCTAATGTGTCCATAGACTGGATAGCTTATCAAGGAGCCCCAGAAGGTGGGGTAAGTGGCGAGGTACGCATGTCACAGTGGTGGACTGGAACAACCTGCAAGACAGTGCGTTTTCCTTCAGTAAGCGATTTTTTCCACTTCTCTAAAATGTGCTTTCACTTTATTTATTATTACCTTGGTTTGTTAAAGTTTTGCCTGGTTGCACTGAATGACAAGGGAGAAAAAGAGTGATTTACGTGCAAATAGTATAGTTTTATACCTACGTTTTAGCGACGACGGCTAACTTCCCTGAATTTCGTCATCGACGAAGGCTGGATGACTTTTTGACAACTTTAAAACACTATACAGGTTCGCACGGCAAAATTTCATTCAATTCCGGTCGACGACGTCGTCCCATTTCGTCGTCGATGCTTAAGGTCCCTAATTACTATAGTTCTACATCCAAGTTGGCCAAGGCCTAAATGTAATAAAGTCCTAAACGTAAAAATATTTTGTCCTAAATGTAATTACAACTTGCCCTAAATGTAATTAACTCTTTTAAGTTGCCAATTAACATCTGTACGGTAATTTCTCGAGTAAGCGCCACATTTGGGGGCGAGGAAGTTTAATAAGCGCCGCGGCGCTTAGTCGCGCAAATACGGTACTAAGCGGTATTATTATGGTATTAAGCATTGCCCTCAAATAAGCGCCGTGGGGTTAATTCGCATAAATTCGGTACATTTCTTTAACTATGCACTGTGGAATAGTTCTAAATGCGAAGTTGATCCGTTCCACGAAAACGAAACCCGAGTCTATTTCGACTATAAAATTGAATTGGATTTGATGCTCTGTCTCCTGTAACCTCGCAAAAAGATTTTGGAGTAACGGTTACTGTTGACCTTACGTGGAACCAGTACATAAACAATGTTATCTCATAAGTACAGTGTTGCTGAACATAAGGATTTCTTCGAAGACACACCTGCTGCGATTTGGACACTGACAGACACCAGAAGACTTTTGTACCTTGCATTTGACAGATCTCCCCTGAATTGTGCTGGTGAGATCTGGGCACCTCAATCTATAGGAAACATCTCTAAAGTTGAAAGTCTTCAATGAAGAGCTACAAAATTTATGTTAAACTTGAGTTGAACGGAATCTACCAGCTGCCAGTTGAGGCTTATTAAACTGAACCTCTTGCCTTTTCCTTTTTTTTTTTGTTATGAAATCAATGATTGTCTTTTCAATTCTACTTCAGATGCCGATTAGGTCACTACAGTATCTGTCATAATGATTTTGTACAGCGGCTTAGTTTTAGATCTGTCAATTTCTAAGTGCCGCATTACATTGTTTTAAACTAGTTATTTAATCGTTTACCTATTAGTTATGGAATTATCTACCAGCATCTATCTGCTCTGTTTTAATCTCAATAAATACAAATTCGTCAAGTCCCTGAGCTCCATGGACACGAACAGTGCCTTCGCTAAACTTTAACTTTACGACGTCAACATTTTCAGCACGTGAAAATCAATCTGCCTCAAGTGCTGCGTTGCACGTAACACTCATGTCTTTGAAGTAATATATGCTGTTACCACAGTTACAATTAATGACCTTTTAACACTCATGATATTTTTTAGCCTTCTTAGTAAATAATAAATATTTATTTTTATTATGGATTTATGGATAATTTAGTAGATTTATGTAATTGTTTCTTAAAGGCCACTTTAACTGAAGCCTCGCTCTGTTTTGTCACCCTCGCCATTGGTTTTGTTTTCCCTTGGTAGAATTTTTTTATTTATTTATTTATTTTTTATTTTTTATGTATTTAAAAAGGATCAAATGCTGCACTACAATACTTCAACATACACACAAAAAAAAATAGAAGTTTCGCTCCGGCAATATGCACACCATGTTAGAGGGTGTGCTCACAGTTCGGGTTCATGGTACATCCAATTCAAAACTAACAGACAGGTACTTTTTTTATTATGCGGTCATAACACATGAAAACAGGACAACTGTTTTTAAAGTACAGATGCAGACAAAATAAGATGTTGGACCTCAATTCCCAGTTTAAACATAAAGCTAATCCTATGAGACGTTACCTGTTTGAAGAAAAACTCATTCTTCACTTTGTCTTTGTCACTACCTAATAAGGAAGTGTTTTAATTGCTTAATTAATTGATTATTATAAAATAAGTTATTTAAAATGTTATAGATTTAAACTTTTATTCACAACATGGCTTGCTTAGAAAATTTGATACAAGTAATTTTTTCTGTGTGGGTTTAGTTTCCAAAGGAGCCTTCAGTTTTTGTGACCGTTGCACATCACCATGCCGGACTGAAGAGAGACGCTGCCAGTATTTGGTTGGAGGATATCACACGATCTTCCTTTAAAATATGTTTAAGAGAACTGCAAAATTACGCGGGCTCACATGAGGACATCTATGTCGTATGTAGTATACTTCATTTTTTTCCCTTCGTCCTCCATTTTTTGTCAGGCGTTGATTTGTTGCGCGTTGAGTTGTGTCAAATTACATAATGTAGCGAATTTTCTCTTTCTTTCCATTTTTCTTTTCTTTTGTTTTTTTTTTTTCTCTTTTCACAGAACTGGTTGGCTTTTTCGTCACTTGACAAGCCCATGTTCTCAGAACACAGCTCAGTTTATTTTGCAAACTCTCAGAAGCCTGCAGCCTGGAACAATAACGCATTCTGCAAGGTCAGTATAAATCATATCTCGCTTGGCTTTATTTTATGTCACGTTTTCACCTTACGTTAATTTGACGGCTCTTTTCATCGATTTTGAAATTCATTGTATGTTCTTTTATTAGGATATTTCCTTTACCAAATTGTACAAGAATGCCCCAAGTGTATTTGTATCAGCGAATCACACCTCCAGTGGGGGAGGTCAGGATCCAATGCACAACTCCATAACCGCTTGGGTTGAGGTGAGTCAGTGGCTGCTAAAACTTGGAGGTGTGGAACGGTATCGTGAGCTTGTGATCCTTGTTGAGCTTGCTTTCATGGCAGTAAACTAATAATGATTATAATCTGTAGGAAGTGGTTCAGTGATAAAAAGACTTGTGCTAAAACATGATTGAACTAACATGGCTCCACACATGTTTTCTTGCATCTAAAGTTACGTTTTCCTTAATTTACGTCATAGTTCCTTAATTTACGTCACATCTCTTTTGTTCCCGGGGGATTTCAGTGAGAAGACTAAGACCAATGGTGTGCCAAAATGTCAGCAACTTTGAACGTTTAAGAAAAAATTCTAAAAAAAACACACAACGTTGTGTTCGCATCGCAAAATTTTTCCGCAGACGAGTTCTCGCAGTAATGCGTACTTTCAAATAATAATAATAATAATAATAATAAATGTTAGGTTATGGGCACTTAAAGCAGTTTCAATGACGTAACGACTAAACGCAGTGCTTTAAAAGTAGATAAAACTACAAACAGTAGTCAGTAGCAGATTAATTTTTTGTCGAGACTAAGACATGATAATTTAGGATTGGTGAATTAAAAATGTAAAAATGATCATCTGTTTTTATTTATTTATTTTTCATTTTAATTTTTAGTACATCAATACAACAGGGGCTCGAGTGTGTACAAAGGAATTGTACGACTCAAAGTACGACCCTCTCTCCGTATCATATACTGTCTTGTCAGGTAAAGGGCGACATCCTTATTAGACTAGAAACTCTTTTACATAGATACAGCTAACTTAATACTAACCAACAATATTAACCTGAAAGGCGGTGCTTAAGGTAGACCTAAACCGGATTACCCCAGCACCCATTAAAGCGTAGATGGCATTGCAAGGGTGGATTTCTTTTACTGGCGGAGACGCCTCGGTGTGACAAAGTTTTCTTTGTTGCAGTTGTGAAGCACTTTTTGAACTTGATGCGCATAAATTAGTACACTATATATACTGTTAGTATGGTTTCATGCAGCTTTTAAGTGTCTTTAGCTCAGATTAAAGGTAGGATCTCGATATATTTATGTTTATCAAACGTAAGGTGCATAGAGTGATAACTATTCGAGGTAACTGAATATCTTAATTCCACAAATGTTGCATCTATTTTCCAGGTATTTGCCAGCCAGGTTGGAGCTATTTTAGTGGGTACTGTTACTTTACAAGTCGCACTTGTGGCTCATGGCTCACTGCTGTATCAAACTGTTCTACGATGAGTTCCAGTTTGGTAACAGTTCACAACCAGAATGAAAACGTCTATATTCAACACCGTCCCAACGGAGAGAGAGCCTGGATCGGACTCAATGACCGAAGTGTGGAGGGCTCTTTTGTGTGGACAAACAAAGAAATAAGTAGTTTTAGGTTCTGGGCTCCACAGCAACCGAACGACTGGAAAAACGAAGATTGTGTTCACACTCTTGGCGCCAGGCATGGTTACACTTGGAATGATGTGCCTTGTCATAACTGATATATCTACACTTGTTTTAAAGGTACATGAGATAATATTGTTTAGGTACCAAGATAAGAAATAATTTTGTTTTTGTGACCCTTTTTGTGTCTTAGCCTGCATTCAACTACAATAAAGAAAGACCTATCAGAAAAAAAAATTGAAACAAATCAGAATCTGACTGAAAAAGTTTGAGTGGTTTTGTTTTGAAAACATTGTCATTAATCATTATAAAACCACAGACTCTGGTAGATTTCGTTGGAGATTCTCGTTTGCCATTTACACAAATCATTCCCATTTACCGACAAAGAAAATGTCCACAAAGCCTGAAATCTGTACCAAAGATGAGTTTGAAGAAATAGAAAACGAGATTCCGTTGAAACATTTCGTTCCCGTTAACTCTGACGTAGACTTGTAGGCGCGCTTCCATTTCTTTTATGTTTTCCACAGGGACGAAACGAAACCTGTTTTTAAAAGAAACATTTTTGTAAATGGCTCAACGAATATGAGCTCCGCAAGGCAAGCTTTTTAAGATCCTTTTTGCGAGTCACGTTTTCCCCGCATTTTATTTCTCTTGACGGTTCACCCGTAAGACTAAAGAGTGTTTAATCTTTACACTGTGTGATTTTCCCTTTTAGACTTGGATGAATGTACCACTGTTTCCCATTCCTGTGACGTCAATTCTGCATGCCAGAATACCGTGGGTTCATACACATGCTCGTGTAATGCCGGGTACACAGGAGATGGAAAACCTTGCAATGGTATATTAGATAATAATTGAGGCAAAGCACGTCCACACGAATCAGATAATTATCTTTTTTAACCAGATTCGTGCAAACGGGGTCTTAAACCACTCTGAGCAGTTTTAAAAAGATGCGGTTTCGGTGAGCGGATTCACTAGTTTCGTGTGGAGGCCAATGCCGATTCGTGTGAAAAAAAAAAAAAATGGCTCTTAAAAATATCTGGTTCGTGTGAAAAAAGGTACAATTCCTACGCAGCGTAAAACTAACGTTTGACACTGTCACCTACTTTGTTGGGCAGAAAAAAAAAAGACTACATAGACCGGCGACCAGATGTAAACTATCAGGCAGATATAATCTCACGAAGATTCCACTGTCTCATGCAGATATCGACGAGTGCTCCACCAACTCTCACAGCTGTGACGCCAATGCGGTCTGTAACAATACCATGGGATCGTACGTATGCGTATGTAAAGCAGGATACACAGGAGATGGAAAGACATGCACTGGTAAGTTGTAAAAAGTGTAACGAATATATGTATCTCTGTTTCTTCTGGGAAATCGAATTAGACTGGTCACAGTCCCCTATTTTTCCGTAAGACCGTCGAGATCGAAGACTTTGCGTTACAGGCGGCCATCTTGGATGAGTGTCAAATCTACTTAGAGGGAGGAGGACGGTTTTCTCGCCTCTCCCCCCACGACTATAAAACACGATTCCCACCCCCTCGGTACATACATGCATGAAACTAAGAAAGCCGCCCGTAATGGAAAGTTTTCGATCTCCACGATCTTACGAAAAAATAGGGGACTGTGAACAGTCTATCAATAATTATTGCTAGCCAGGATAGATCGTGACAACACCAACTACTTCAACAACAAACAGAAATCTATGGTGTGGAAACTTCTCTAACTGGTCTCTTTGTTGCTTCCCATAAAATATTTTATTAACGTCGCTTAAGCTTGTTATGCGATACTTAAGAGAAGACATTCTTTGATTTATCCGTAACGATCTCTTAAGTGACGCATTACCTGCTGTAGTTCAACCGGACTTTTCACCGAGCAAACTGATATAAGAAACCTCTTATTAACTCAAAATACTTCTGCGTTTCTGATTGGTTCTAAATATTCCCAAGCTAATTCTTCATAACCAGCTACCGTTGACCAAATTTGAGAGATGTTTGCAGTTATCCTGTCAAAGATGAGACTTGCAATGTAAGACATGCGCGCAGACCCAGGGGTTTAAGTCAGTCGCGCCGCCGTTTCTCCTGACTCGACTGAGACCCCGGAAACCGCATATTTTTTCTTGTTTTCGTATGGACGAGGCCTTAAACCACTTTGGAGCGCGGTTTAAAAAGAGGCTGGGTGGTTTAGTTTTGGTGATGCTGGAGAAAATGGCGAAGAAGACAAAAAGCCGAACTACTGCCTAAAAACAAAGGAAATTAAACAACAAACATTGGACTAGCTCGACCGATGACAACAGCTCTTGAATATAGATATTCTATGGACTAAACATGCCCTTATATCCTGAAACTCCGAGGAACAGGCAAATGTTATGAAGACGACAGAAACTTTTCATCGATGAAGGGAAGCATGATTAAAAGTTTTGAAATATCTTGAATTAGTAAAATAATTGTTTGTTCCTGCTCGTGTATGATATGAAGTCTCAGATCTTTGGGGTGGGGAGTTAGAGTACGGAGGCCGAATCCAAATTGATCAAAGTTAGTACCATCACGCAGATGCAAAATCTCCTATCCTTAACCCCAGCTTCACTACATTTTTCCATATATCGACGAGTGTTCTACCAACACCCATAGCTGTGACGTCAATGCGGCGTGCAACAATACTGTGGGATCGTACGCATGCGCATGCAAAGTAGGATACTCAGGAGATGGAAGAACATGCACTGGTGAGCCTTTTTAACCTTTTTCTAACGGTGATTTGGAAGAAAGGAAATAATGTCTTTGATTCCTGAAAGCTGGTTTACTCGCGTGCAGAAGAAAAAGGTTTTTGGTAGGTCAGACAACAACAACGACAACAACAACATCTGGAACCAACGATGATTATTACTTTACAATTATATATCTTGTTGAATAGGAGAAAACTTAAGGTACTGGCTTCTTGGAATACAACTAGCTGTTACAGGTCAAATTAAAACTTAGGTTAAACCAAGATTTTCTAACCCAGGTTGATTCTCGATTTCCTTTGTCTCCTAGCCCTAATTATTGATCATGAATTAGGGCCAGGAGACAAAGGAAAACACCATTGAAAATTTAGAAACAACCCAGGTTTAAAAAATTTAAACTGAATTTAATTTTGTTATTTTCTTTTTAATTTTTTTTTTTTCACTTTAATTCTTTTTTTCATTTTATTTATTTTTTAAATGAACACTAGTCAGCAGCACAAAGCAAAGTGAGGATCTTGTTAACTTGATTTATTTCTTCGACCGGTTTCGTCCTATCACACAGACTTCATCAGGGATTATAACAAGATAAAGCTAAGGAACTAACTTTATACCTAATTATTAATACAAAATCACGTTCGTGTAAGGTTGCTAACAGCAAAAAACAGACACAAAATGTACGTGCAGGATATGACTATAATCCTGCATTACAAAATTTGCAATGTTTAATTTGGGGGCTCACGAAAATTAGCTTTGATAATCCGTTAAATCAAGTTTAAAAATTTTAACCTGAATTTAATTTTGACCTGCAACATAGCCATAAGATAGCCATGGGTAGCCAGGCAGCTAGCAGATTTTAGCATTACATAAAAAACCCCATACACGCAGCAGTCTTTCGCGATCGGGATCGGGGCCACTGGTTTCGGAATATATGGGGGGGGGGGGGGGGGGCATGCATGCGCAAATGGGACTGTTATTAAAATGTTACGGGGAAAAAAGATCTAGTTCAGTAAAAAAAAAAAAAAATGTTATTATCGTCGAAAAACTAAATGTATGATTGTGTCTTCCGATATCCTAGAAGCAGTCTGAATTTCACGTTTCTCATTTTTTCTTTCCAATATAGCAGGTTTCGAATAGCCCGACTTCTTGCTCATCAGTTTACAACAATCCGAGAGATCGCTTGCTAAAACCTTCGACGTTTGATGCAATTAATCTAAGCTGCGATTTGAGGTTAATTTTTATGGCAATTCAATTACGACTCTTAATGATGTTTATTCATGCAGTGGTTTTCATAAGGTGCATGAAATGAACGCTTATCCTCTCAGCTGCTAGCTTACGCGGGCCTAAAATCACAGAACAAATCTCACGGAAAATCGGCAGTGAACACGGGCCTTTACGACGCACTTTAGGAACCCTAGGCGAAAGCAACCCCCTCCCCCACCCCCTTCTTGTTCCCTGAATAATAAATAATACGATAATAATAATAATAATAATAATAATGATGATGATGATGATGATGATGATGATGATGATGATGATGATGATAATAATAAATTGTAGAGACGGCACAAACTCACCCGACGTAAGTGCAACGATTGCTGAAACTTTTTTTTTTTTCATCATGGTTATGTTATTTCAATCCGTTTTCGTTCTCTTCTGCTACCTCTTTGCAAAGTGGGCGAGATTACCAGCGGTACTGATGACTGTCACAGTTCACTTGCTTCTTGTACCAACACAGTGGGATCCTTTAGTTGTGCATGTAATAATCCTTCCAGCGGAAATGGCAGAACTTGCAATCTACCTTCAGGTAAGGAGAAAGATATATTCAGTTACCAAACCCGCAGCTATTCACTTGTGATTGATGCACCTTGCGCTGACCTCGACTGCTTAAACAGTGCTTTACTATCGATATTTATTGAGGTTTGAGAAGATCACCGGTGATCTCTCAATCACCGTGTGATCACGGGGAATACTTTTTTTTCGCTTGTTAACGAATAGTCCTGCAAGAAACGGTCCAGCTTGAGAAGGCGTCAGCCGGCTCGTCTTGTGGGCAACTCTCTTTTGATTAATGAAATTTCTACTCTAACCTTAAGGCGAGTTGAGTTTCTTAAGTTTGCCGATTAACTGTGATTGTAGTCTCTAACTCTAAGGACTAACTAGCCAACGCGAAAATCCGAAGAAGAATGACGATACGAATTAGAAGAAATACTTATAATATTTTAGAAAATACGCGCGAGTACTGAGTATTAGTTTCTGAGTCACAGGTTCACGAGCAATAGAACAATCATTGGGGGAGAAATTATCTGAATTTTCTACTGTCGTCTTTCATTTCTATTTTGAAGATATTCTTCTTTTAAAATTCCTTCGAGTAGTATTCTTGATTTTGGTCCTGAAATAGACTTTTCATCATAGCGCCCGCCAAACAAATCTTTCTGTACTATATTGTTTGTTTTCAACTAACAAATTTTAAAATGCTTGCTAAAATAATGGCTGAAGGACTATATTTTGCCTACGTTATGAAGCAGCGCAAAAAAGGAATAGCTGACCCTTAATTGACATAAGGCCATCCTCGCTCAATGGATTTTGAAACTATGTTTTCGGTATAAACGACCTTGTATAAATATACTTTAGTATTTATATAGTGCCCTTATACTTTTTCCTGAGTTAGCAGTCTTTTGACGATTGAATTGCCACAGAAAAAATCTTAATGTAGCGAGTATACGCGAAAGTACCTTATGAGGTTTTAGTTGAGCACGTTTTTGAAAATGTCAGTATTGACTCAGCTTCAAGGTTACAACTGTCGTTATCCACAGTTAGTAATTATGGTCAATTATTATGAAATATTCAAACACTTTGCTACTTATGCACGATCCCATTTCCCCAGGAAGTCACTCCTCAAAGCTATTAATAGGTTGTATCCATGTTTTCCTTTTAAATGATTTAACGCTGTATTTAACAGGCGTGAGATAACTAATCCGCTACTAGCACAAGTTATGTCGATGCCGCTGATGGGTAATAGTGTTTTCTTTCTGTGATGTTCAGTGCTCGTCAAAAGTGAAGGTGTGGTGGGGAATTTAGGACATGAAAAGCTCCCGTTCGTTTTCGCTCGAGCTGATGTTCAGTAAATGAAACGTTGCAAAGGTACGCTTAACTAAAAAAGATATCCAATGTCCAGTGACTGTTCCTTTTCTTCTTTTATGCCAGAATGTCGGAACTACGCGAGTCTCAACAGTGGAAGCCGAAGAGCTTCGTACTACGGGTACAGGGGTTATTGCGATAGCAATCTCGGCCCTGGATGGTTCCGTTTCCAGGGGTCTGCCGGCACCAGAATGGCAACATCATGTACATCTTACAAAAGGTGTGGTACCTATTATACCGGCTGGCTATATGGTGGACACCCCTCAGTAGCAGACGGTCAGGTCACCAGGACGGTGTATTTTAATACTGGTTACTGCTATGGTTACTCAAGAAACATCAAAGTGAGAAATTGTGGTTCATTTTACGTGTACTATCTTAATGGTACACCTACTTGTAATGCCCGTTACTGTGGTGTGTAGACACAAATGCAAACAAAGCATATATGTATACATATTCTATCATTTCACTAAAGTAGGCTTTATTGTAAAAACAAAGTAACCATCTAAAAAATAGACTCTACTTACACTGCAACTTCAATATCAATATCTGTTTATAATAACTTTAGCAAAGAAAGAAAAAGTGAGAAGGGACAACCTACTACTTTTAAGCCATTTTGCAGATTATAGTGCTTATAACGTAAACGGCATTTTTATTATGTAATGGCGACCTAATTTTTAATGACACTCTTCAAAGAAGGCTTCACAAATGACTTAAATCAGGCGGATTACAAACTTCTTGATGCAACAAGCAGAAAAAACACATCTCTCAAAAAAACCCAGTCCTTCCGCAGCATGAGACTTGGTCCTCGCGGCGCTTACATGCAAATTTCGAGCAAAAACAAGAAAAAAAACCATGTCAATCCACTCCAAAAACACTCCAAAACATATTATGTTAACTGAAAGAACACACCAAAGGTAATTGCTAAGTCTAATAACGGCAATGGCTAAATAAACTGCGATGGACAACATGATAGTTAAGATGTGGGGAGTGCGGGGTACGAAAATGCTTACTTTTTTTTTTTTTTGATCGGTCCAGGTAAGCAGTCTGTGAAATCGGGAGCGAAATAGATATAAGGACTAGGGATACAGTCAACTCTCGCTTTGCGGACACCATGCTATTACGGGCACCCCGGCAATACGAACAACCGCTAAATCCCTCCCTATTGCGGACTTTTGTTTACTATCAAGGACACTAGCTCGGAGTCCCGAGAGTGACCTCAATAAACGAAAGTTGACCACACAGGGTTGAGCCCTGATTTTAGGACTATATTAGAATAGGAGTTTCACTGAAAAATAAAGGCACAATTTAGTGGCATTAATAACCTCCTGCTCTTGTACGTTGGCGTAATTTTACTTCAGAATCCCTCAGGCTTTTCCTTTCTTGTGAAAATCAGGAGGGCTTTGTTTTTTTAAACCTCAACGGGATTACCAAATTTTTCATGAAGGATCAATCGAAATGAATTCAGGTCTAAGCAGTAAAAAGACGCCATCTCGTGTCATCATTGCACACGGGATATGGAGCGAGGACCTATTAAGATCATTTTAAGAACATTACATTAAAGAAGATACATGTCCATCTTAGATATAACTACCTGTAGACAACTGGAAAACAACGCGTTAAACCTCTGTCTAGTAGTATGACGCAGTAGCGAATAAATGATTAATCGTTTCATGTTTGGTATGCATTATAACTGGAAACGGGGAGAAAAGAAGGTGTAACGGCAGAAGGGAGTTAGAGGTGGGAAGAGCGGGAAATAAGGCGCAGAACTGAGCCTTCGTTGAGGGACCGAGGTTAGGCGACTTATATCTAGCGTCCGTTACAGATGAAAGAATCAAGACAATAGGGATCTTAAGATTGAGGTTTTTCAGCATTTCTCGAGAACCGCGAGCGTCAAGAAGTCACGTGACCAGGACCTTGCCGTCAGGTTTGCGGTTTGAGGTTCACGTTTGTACGGCTGGACCACGCTCCAGAGGGAAGTGATCTACCGCAAGGTTTAAAACATAACAATCCCACGTTTGAGAAGAAAGACGACTTTTTAGAACTCTTTTGCTTATTGATAATCGAATTGTATTTTTAAAAAACCGTAATTTTGAAGACAATTTCTCAGCTAAAATAGAGTTGCGAGCTACTACCCGCGAATCTTAAACCCCAAATATGGGCAGACGGGTAACGTGAACCGGGAGGTTCCACTGTGTGAAGATAAGCTTGTAGGCTTTCGTATCACTCCCATGAAGTAAAAAGAAATATACATTGTGTAACTTTTGCGTGTGCTGAAAAGTGAAAAACCCTATAAATTCTTCTGAACTGTACGTTTTAGAGCTATAATCCCCGATGTTTGAACTCGTAAGCCCAGGATTACATCAAGCGTTACCAATTGAAAATTTAGCTAACTTATATTCTTGCTCGGGGGGGAGGAGGGGTACTCCCATACATTGCCTATACAGGTATGTGCCGCCCAACGGGGTCGTGATTTTGAAGCTCCTGGTTTAGAACGGGGTATCCATTTCAGAGGCGTTTTCTAGAACGGGGTATAATATTTCGAACGCACGAAAGCTCCAGTTTTGTAACCAGCCATTTGAAATTATTCAAGGACAGATTGCTTTTAACAATACGGTTCAATGCGTTAACAAGCAAACTGTTGTATTCTTGTTGCACCCTAGAGCGGAGTATAAAAAATTGGCTCATTTCTAGAACGGGGTATCAGTTTTAGGGCGAATTCTAGAACGGGGTAGGAAAAATTGGCCCATTTCAATTTTCAATTTTAGTGGAGTCCCGGGCGGCACATACCCACCCAAAAAATACCCAAGTGCCCCCCCCCCGTATTCTTGTCGACGGTGGGTTTAATGTTACTGTGTGAAACAAATGTGCAAATCGCGTAGCACCCTTTTGAAGCGAAATGAGATGTCAATCGTGTAATTTTTGCGCGTAGTGAGACGCGAGAAACCCTATGAATCCCTCTAGACAGTACGTTCCAGAATTGACTCTAGAAGAGAAATTGAGGTTTGAACAGCCTGCCATATTATGCATGACAGCCTGTTTTCTCATTCCGGTCACCATTAATTATTTTTCGTCTTTAGCCGTTATATTTTATGGAAAGCTTCATCTCAACTCACATCTTTCTTCGCCACTCTCCAATACTCCTGGCATAAATAAAAACGCCGGGGTCACGCAGCTGTTGTACCGATTGAACTAATCCTAGCTTAAGCTGTATTGCTTTGACCTCCAGATCTGTCTGTTGGTAAACTAAATACCCCTGAGGCCTTTCCCAGCTTACCTTATTAATATCTCCCCGAAAGCCATCTTCATTGCTAATACCGCTACCCAAATAAAGATACTGAAGTCATCAATGAATTCGAGTTCCATAGCAAGGGTGAGAACATCGCCATGTGAGGGAAACCAACACAGTCATGGATTCTGGATGCCATGCCGTGGATAGGCACAGAAGATCCAACTGTACATGTATACTTTGTTGACTTGTGTCTCTCAGAGATGGCAACGAACAACAGTAGAAACAGAGAATTTAACCGTTCAACACCACCTTACTCCAAAGTTAAAAGGGTTGTGTCACGACAGTCCAGTTCATTATGTCTCATGAGTATTATTCTTGAAGTTGCAAGCAGCAGGGATCAACTTTGAAAAACTGTTAGGCTGAACAGTTTTCAAAAATACTAATTTCATTCCGTTTCAATCTTCTTCAGTTTTGCCCATCCGTGACATCTGTTGTTTCTGTTATGTTATTTTAACCTTCCTTTAAAGTTTTAAGCGGTTATTTTTATGTTTCTCTTAATTTAACGGGCATTTTGTAATTTCCAAATTTGGCTAAATTTCATGACACAGCTCCTTTAACAGTAAATGCCTCCGAGAGCGTATGACGAGAGGAATGATTTTGGATTAGAAGTGCTCGTAGAAAAGGCCTATGCCACATAAAGTGAATATGTGATCGGCACAGCCTCTTCCTCCGTGGAAACCTTCCTGTTTTTCTCCTAGCCTGCTCTAAATCGTTTCTTAATTACTGATTCGCCCCAGTAAGACCCTGCAGACACATACAGATTATCTTACATTGGACCAAGAATGTGATCCATCACAGTGGGGTGGAAATTCTAGTCATATCAATAGTGTCATAGATCCGAGCTGATTCTCTAATACAACAACATTGACAATCTGAAATGTAAAGCCACAAAGTGGACCAGGATGTTATGCTGAATTCATTGCATTATTTGCTATTATTCTGGGAAGCGCAAGAATCAAGGCAGTCGAGGCAAACAAGACCCTTGATAAATGCTATCAATACAAACTTAATGGTCACCATTTCTTTTCCAACCATGATGGTTGGAAAAGTTGTTTGTTAAAGGAAAGGAAAAGTAAAGAAAATCCATCATATGCTTTGTCATATGTTCCATACATGAGCCTTCGGCTCGAATGATCGGCGCAACCCCATCCGCACCACGTATTGACATAAATAAAGTGATTGATTGATTGATTGATTTCTTGATAACCTTTTGGGAAATAAATTTATAATAGTAAAGAAAAAAAATGTTTTTGATCGCCCTCGGACTGGGAATAATCAGTTCTATGAGGCGCATCAGGTAAAAGAAAGGGCATGTAATAAGGGACATTCAAGAGTAAACCGATGACTACATCTGTTAACAACGCGAAAAAAGATCGCGGCTTCGAGACAGGAATGTAGCCATGATTGCCAAGTGAAGCCCAACACTCAAAAAAGAATACTTCCGGGTGAACATTCTGTTCCCTGGAGGGCAAATAAGTGTGAGGGGGGAGAAACAGACCAAACAAAAGGAGCCTAGGTGTGTTCATATTAGTTTTAAGGTTGTTGCATTTTTAGGCCACTACAATGTGAATAGTTATGTCAATTCTCCAAAGACTGTTTCCCCCCTTTCTGCGACCTTATCTTTAGTCCAAAAATAGTTATATCCATTTTAGGAAAATTAGTGCTTTACTTCTTCCTTTACTGTCAACGCAACAGAAATAATGAACTTCAGCGAACACAATGGAAATATTATTTTCAAGAAAAGAAGTATTGATTTAGTTAAAGCAAGATGTCGGGAGAGCAACACGTCCCGCCTGTCCTCTTCGCAGTTTTTGCTGCAGCTATGCTTCTTGCTCTAGGAAGTCAAGGTACACCAACCTTAAAATATTTTTTGTTTACTTATTACTCTAAACAACACATTTCATAAAGTGCTGATAGTATTTGGCGTTTCCAGCACTGAAATTGTATGTTTCGTTGTGAGGAAGAAAGAAAGATATCGGGTGGGGCGCACATGGAAGAAAATACTTCAAGGGATCTTACGCTCCCTGTTTTAACAGTTCAAAACTAAAGTGAGTATTCTATCTTTTAAAAACAGTTATTTTTCTTTTACAGCCGCCAGTTTTAAATCTGGGAAAATCAATAATATCACTGCCATGAGCTCAGGGTTATTTGCTTGCGAGAAAATCACCTTCGAGGAACCATTCTCTGGCGGAAAGCAAGTGAAAGTGTTTGTTTCTCCTGGTAACTCAACTAATGGTGCTGCTGTTTGGGTGGAATCAGAAGATCAAAGTCAATTTCGCGCTTGCATCTACGAGTACAGCGATGGCTCGAATGCAGCTGCGGAATTAAACTGGATTGCCTTGGAATCTGCCCCCTCCGGAGCACAACTAGGAACCACTTCCTTGGACTCTTGGACGACAGGAACAAAGTGTAAGAAGGTCGATTTTCCTCAGGTTAGTTTAATTTTCAAAAGATAAGTAAGTTTACGTAAAAACTAGCCTTGATTAATTATAAAAAGAAAGGATCCTTGGTGGTCAGGGGGGTTCAGATGGAGGATGTTACGTTCAATTACCGACCCATATAAGGTTCACTTATCCATATACCCAGGCAAATTTATGACTTTATCTATAAAACTGAATTTATACAGTGAATTTAATCTGACAATCATAGACCGCTGGAAAATCCTTCGAGAGATCGCGAATAAACCAGTTCAGTTCCTCTCATGTTTCACTTCCCGCATATGATAGTCTTTCACATGGTATGATTTGGCTCAGCCAATTGAATCCAAGCTGTCAATTCAGTGTCATCAAGCACTTAGAGCTGATTGCATGAGCTGGGCTGCCTAGCTTGAGGTGACGTTTAACCCGGTGCCTTTTCGATCCCGGGATCCCAGTTAACCGGACTAGCTTGATTGGTATGTAACCACAAAGTTGAGTTTCGTTGCGTTTAATGTAATACTGATGTGCCACTAACAGTTTGTGCGCGTAACAAAAATACCCCCGCCTCCTCTCTTCTCTCCTATTGATGGTTTCGTTATGTTAAGATTTATTTACTCTCCAGTTAAAATATTTGCTTAGGCTTTGTGTGCTCCGAAACTATTGAACAAGAACAATTTAAAAATGGTACTGTTCAGTACCGCTCTAAGATCATCGTTTTAGGTTAAGAAAACTTTTAGTACAGTGATGGACAATGTGACTTGAATGTGACGGAAGGTCTTTCCACTCTAACGAATTTTAGGCTCAACAGGAAGTCGGGTGTTTAACTGTCGATAAAACAGGGGAAACTAGACTCAAATGCGGGGAGGAACCGACACTTCTCTGTAGGACCAGGATCAAACCACTAAGTGGTACAGCTGAGTAGATAAAACAGAACTAAACTTTAGTTCCAACAACAGCAGGTCAAACGGCGTTAACTGAGACGGGACACGGCAAAATAAACGAAATGTAGTCCGGCAACCCTGAAATCCACGATGTAATATAAAAACAGTAAAAAATAGTTTTCCTATATATGATTTCTACAACCATTGAAGGCAAAAGAATACAATAGAAATATAAACAGAAATCGCTTAGAGTTAAATGAAAACTTACAAAGTCTATTTTTAACCTGAAATCTTTTGTTACCGTTTCTATTTTAAAAAGTAAAAGTACTGCAAAACAAAGACCTAGCTAGGTCAGCAAAACAGCGATTATGTTCAATATATTATTGTATTGTAAATGTTACAATATGTATAAAGTTGCAAGTTAAGCTATCGGCTGTTTAAACAGGAAGAAGGGTAGAGTAATTACTAGTTTTCACCTTGAACATAAACCCGCGATCATGCCAGACATGTACAGCAAAACCTTTGATATTCATAATTTATCTGTTGGCTCTACAGTATGTAACTAACAACTTAATGAGCGATATTTTCGTAAATAAATATAGCTAAAATGCAATGATTATAACGACTGTGGTGTACCTGTGTGAAAAGCGTTATTATGAATAGATGTCATCTGGTTGTAAATCAGACTACAGTTAAATAACCATTATTCACGGCAGCCGAAACTAATTATTCTTTTAAAAGTCAACATATATTAAAGTAAAATGTGAACAGTTGAAAAGAGGACAACCAATCAGTTTTGTTTGTTCAGGAACACCGTTGGCTAATTTCTAAAATTATTAGCGGGCACAAAGAAGCTAAAACCAACCAAACGTCAAAGCGAATATTTGAAGGCTACATAAATATGAAATTGGAGGCAAATAAAGAATTCTTGGAAAATCTCATCTCACAGTCAGTTGCGCTGTTGCAATGAATTTCGATAACGTTGGGATGAAGTCCTCTCATACAGGGAACCCTTTCCACCTTTCCATAACCTGGTGTATGATATCAAGCATTTGATAGACGATACGCCTTTTTTTGCATTAGTTGATCACGCGATCAACTTTCGGTAAACACGAAAACAGTTCGACGGTTCAACGGTTCAGTTCATTTTCGGCGGCCGTTAACGTTGTGATCGCTACTTTTGAGATATATGGATGAAAATATACAGGTTACCTAATTTTAAAATGCTCTTTCAGCTTGTGCTAACAAAATTTTTCAAAACCAAACTGTTTTCGTGTTTACCGAAAGTTGATCATGTGACCAACTAATGCAAAAGGCCTATTACCACCTCACAAACGTAAACATTACCCCGATGAGTTGTACCCCAGTAAGATCTTGGGATATTGTTACACCTCTAGAGAAAATGACCTACTCTCCTTCGGAAAAGTACCTCAACCCTATTCCCATGATTTCAACACAGTTATTCGTATCTAGTTCTTTGCTTTTATAGCAGGAGTTATGGGTTTGGAACATTAAGAACTGAAAACGTAAATTGCCGATAAAATAGTCTGAAAAATTGCACCATATGTTTCTCGAATTAGATTCAGTTAAAGAGCGTTTGTATATATTAGACGAGAGAATTTTTTGCGCGTCTCTGGTTTCTTTTGCTTTTGCTTTTTGATCGCGCGCGCAGTCATAGAGTGTACGCTAAGACATATTCAGCGAGAGCTATAGGTGAGGCCTTTGTTTAACACAATAATCATCCTTGATTGCTCTTGAGGACATTGAGCAACTAAACCTAATTTCCGTGATATAGTTTTAATTTTGCAATGATCTAGACGATTGGGTACAATGGGAAAATTCTGAATGTCAACCCCAATGCGGGAGCAGTACAAGGCCATTATTCCATTATTTTCAAAAGTCTGGCGACAGTCCAACAGCGTATTTGTAATTGGGTTATGTCTAAGCTTCCAGTTCCATGCCCATTGTTCAATCTGGCTTTCCCAGTTAGACCCTGTTTACATGGAGTGGGGGACCCCGGTCTAGTGGGGTAAGTTTCTTTTGCTTTGTGTCCCCCAGAGCGTGAAAACAAAAGAAACCAACCCCACTAGACCGGGGTCCCCCACTCCATGTAAACAGGCCCTTAGTGTTATATCATAGACTCAATTTCTATCTCTTTCATCTCTAGCATTTTACGGGACACTGCAGCCTCCTCTGAGTTTTGCGAATTTATGCGATACGCATGTTGCTAGTAGATGTAATGATAAAGAGCCACAACAAAACAAAGTAAATACATGGAATTCTTTCAATTGGTATTCGAGGAAAATAATACAATACCCTAATTATGAAGAAAAATCTTGTCTGATTCAGGTGAAATTGTGAAACGTACTTACTTAGGAATTTAAAAAATATTATTTCTTTAAGTTTCCCATTCTTCGCCTTTCACTACTCCTTTATATTTATATTTAATTTCAGCGTTTTTTGACCCCTCCAATCGTACTTGCGACTCCGAGTCACCAGTTTCCTGAGAGACCTCAAGACGCCATGGCAGTCTGGGTGGAGGATTTGACAGAACACAGTTTCAAACTCTGTGTCTTAGGGAAGTGAAAATTTTGATGGACTTCATAGGAGTAAATAAGTGAAAATTTTTTTTATTTTTCCTTGTTTCAATTTCATTAGGGGCATCAAAAAAAAAAAAACAAAAAAATAAAAAAATTAACTACAACATATCCACCAGGGATTTCTGAGATTTCATGTTGCGCATTTGCCCCTCATTGCACAAAGCAGGAAAATAGAGATACACAAGGAAATAACATTCTGATTAAACCACTTCATAAAGGCGAATGCGATTCGAAGGCGGATAATTGATTGTTTAGAAAGGGGGACAACAGAAGGCGTTTTACTTAGCTCGGCTGTTCAGCTAGAGCTCCGAAATATGGCGAAAACTAACGCTTCCTAAAAACAAAGCAAGAACAGCAAAATGCCACATGCGCGAAACATAATGACCACTATTGAAAGAATATCTCAGCCAGATATATACAATTCCTGAAGTTACCGAGCAACAGGGAAATGTTATTAAAACGCAAATTCAGGTCGATGGAAACAATATTTTGAATTAATAAATCAATTTTTACACTTGTTTGACTCGGTTTTCGAAGGATATATTTAACAATTATTCTACGAGTGCGCGTTGGACTGATATGAGATGGCAGATAGCCAACGAGGCGCGAAGTACTGAGTTGGCTATAATAATCTCATATCCAACAAGCGCGAGTGGAATAACTGTTTTATTAAAAACGCCCACAAAATTTCGAGAACTATTCCCGACTTTAATTGTAAAAACAAACGATTTTCAGCTCGTTTTTAGTTTTGAGCAGACGCGTACAGTTATAGTTTGGAGAGCATGGTATAATGGCTCATATACCATGATGGCTAAGCCTATCACAACTCTAGAATTGCATTATCCAATGATTCAGTTTTTAATGAAAAGAATTATACAGATCAAGGTGAGTCTACTGTTGTCCGCCGAGTCCTCGTTGATCTCCATAATTCCACATAACATCTACGCAGCCTCATCCAATAAATACTAAGTAGTTTTAAAATCGGTTCCTTCGTTGTAGCTATCATAAAGCAGTTAGCGAAATATTGCGCTCTTAGTTTACAGACTTAAAAAAAAATGCCAAAATGCAGGTTTTAAGTGTCCGATAACCCCGAACGCCACACTACAGATGGAGAAGGAGCGTCAGAAACACGAGGAAGAAATCAATGCACTGAGTCTCTTAATGCTATTCCTACTTTGCAACATTTTCAACAATCCATCCAGAAATAAATAAATAAATAAATAAATCATAAAAACAAATCGCTGTATCTTTAAATAAAAATGAGATAAGCCTTATCTAATATGATTTTTCCATTGTTTCAGAACTGGATGGCTTATACAAACCTCACTGTTGTGAACTTTACATTATCAGAGAGTCTTGTGCTAAGGAACAAAAACTCACCACCCCAAAATAACGAGGCCTTTTGCGAGGTGAAAAAATGTTAATTATTAAAATGGACTATCTTGACAATGTTTTTATATTTTTCATAAACTTTAACATGTGCATCGGTTGGTGATATCAGTTCCTGCTCACCTGGATCGAAGTTGAAGTTTGGTCATTTGCATCACTTCTCACCAACGATACATTGTGGCTACGTTAAAGAAATCTATGAGTCTAAAAGAAAAAAAATCTGAGGATGGGGTTTCAATTTAGCTTAGCCCTCCATGTCTATTTAATCACTGATTGTTTAAACTAGACGTAACTAGGGAGCAAAAATATCATGTCCGTTAATTATTTGTCATTGTATGACACATTGTGATCGTTTCATGTCATTTATTTAATTATTTATTCATTTATTTATTCATTTATTGAAGTAGTTATTCATTTATGTCAGCATGCACTTATTCTGGAAATCAAAGTAACTAAAAAGTGACAAATAACAATCCATATCGTTTATGCTACAGAATATCAACTTCACAATGCCGCTCTATGCTCCACCAGTGGTAATAGTGACCGCAAAGCGTGTCAGCAACAACTCGCAATCTTCTGGATGCGACGCAATCGCCGCATGGGTTGAGGTAAAAAAAAAAAATTAAACAGGTAAAATTGTATAACAGACTTATGCCATCGTCACCCTGCAAGCAGAGCCCAGTTTTGTCTTCTTGACTGAGGAGGGGAAAAGGAAGCTGATCTGCTTGAATCGCGTCACACATTTGAGGTCGCCGCAGCCAAAATTTAATTGTGGACTAGTCAATCCTGTTCCCCCTTGTAACACTGTTTTTGTTGTTGTTGTTGTTGTTGTTGTTTTGTTTTTTTTCGAGTGCGAGCATCCGTTTATTGATCAGGGGCACCCAACGACTGTTTTCTGTAAACGATCTGTTCGGAGAAGCCAATGTTGCTTACAATGTATTTTTCTTTTGCTTGAGGACGGCTGAAAATTTCTAGATGAACATTCCATTCATGTACAATTTTCGAAGCTCATCCATCAAATCCCCTACGATTTTTTAATGTTGAATTTTTCATATTTTAATACTTCCCAGGTTAAACTATTTTTCTTGGAAAGAAGAAACTTAAAATTTTCGGATTCTAAAACGTGATGGAGAGAGGAATCCGAAAAATTCTTACTTTCGTAAAACGTTAAATTGCACCTAAAATGTTCGCGAAAATGATGCAGAAACCCTTGTAATTTCGAATAGACTTACGTTCCCCTAGGATGACCGAACAGATAAAAATTGTTTAGCGCCGCTTAGAATGCATTTCGACAGATCTAAAAGTCCTCTAAATAGCCTAAAAAGTGTTTTCATCGTATTTTGGAGCAAACCATCGTTGGGTGCCCCTGATTGATAAACGGGTGGTCATGAACGCGGGCTTGCTGTAGTAGGAGCACAATTATTAGGCCTGGGTCCGAAACTCTAGCAACATGCTGCACATGCTCAACAAACGTCTTGTCATTTTGTGCAGAGTCTTTCTTGAGGAGTACGCCAAAATCAAGCAAACGAAAGAAAGGCTCTGCTCAGTGGCAGGGTGAGGCAGCGCAAACCTTCAGACGTGATCTGTTTGATGATATTAATAAACAAGAAAAAAAGATGTACGCTTAAGCTATGAGTGAGGAAAGTCAGTACTAGAAATGGAAATCGGCAGATTTTTCACTGCAGTTTTATATCAAAAAGAAGGTTTCGTGAGGACAAGTTCGCCTCACTGCGAGTTTTGCCTGCATATGTCTTCTGTCTCTGAAATTTCTGTTGTTAGTACACAAACACCACAGAAACACAGATTTGTGTCAGAAACTACGACCCAAAGAGCAAGGATACCATAAACGTGGATTACTTAGTTTTTGGAGGTAGGTATACGTAAGTTTCAGTAATACCCTTCGCGTAATTTAATTTGGTCTCGCTATTTAGAAGAAAGAGAGCGCAAGTACATCATCACAACAACTGTTTAATAGGCCACTTGCACTAAGAGGTCACGTGACCAATGCTTCCTTTAAACAATGAGTTGGAATCTTGCTGATGCTAAAAATTGACAGAGCACATAAAAATTATCTTACCCTCGAAATTTGAGGGGAAACGCATTTAAGGGAGATATTTTATGGCACTTTGATTTTTCAACAAACTAGTATGATTTGTATTTGCCGCCATGTTGGAGGGCATACTCTTGCCCTCCAACACGGCGGCCAAAACTACTTTTTGCTTAGATCTTGTTAAACGTTTGATAGTTACGCTCAGATGTGTTGTAAACGTTCCCACATCAACTTTTCAACATTCCCCTTGAAGTTTAAGAGCAAAATTTGTGTTCGGAAAGAGTTAATTCATAATTTCAAAAATCACATTTTGGTCACGTGACCAACTACGAACTTACTCATTTTAAGAAAATGGTGCAGGTTTGAAAAACCAAATCACTATTATTTTGTTCAAGACATGACCCACTAATCGTTTTCTGAAGAAAAAAATCATATAACTTTCACTTTCATAAAAACGATGTCACATGACCTCTTAGTGCAAATGGCCTATTGGTATTGTTGACGTGTCACTTATGACGTTAATGACCCCATAATTATAAGTTGATTCAGTGTATTTTTACCAACCTGCGTGGCAGGCAGGTTATGTTTTTTACTCTCCTTGGCTACTTTTTAGTTTTCTAACATCCAATTTCATTAATTTGATACTTTAAATCAAACTCAATGACGAGACACGTTCTGACTGTAAAGAACTGTGAGACATCAGGCAGTCTCGAATTAACACTAATGAGGACCTCTAGATCTAACCTCTTCGTTAGTGGGTTATTTTAAGAAGAAAAATGCTTTTCTAGTCTAGTACGCTATGTGCGTTCATAAAAGTGTTCACAATAAATGGTCTTTACATTAAAAATAAAAAAACGAAATTGAAATGGCCTAGCCGACGCGGTTTTGTTGAATACTGGCTAAACGCCGTTTAAATAATTGGCCCATAGATGTTAGCAAGAGCTATAATGATGTTAGCCTTTGCCGATTTAAGGTAACGGAAGTATATCTAGCCAATGTTTTGAAAACCAGCCTGACGAAATTTGCAGTCATTTAAGTGAAAAGGCATCAAAAGACAGATTTTTTTGGGCTCAAAAAGATTTTACTCGAGGGTAAAGGAAGAGGAGAAAAAGAAAGAGCGAAGAAACGAAAAAAGGAGCAAAAGAGAAAAAAAGTAATGGTAGTGCACACTCTTAGTTTTTATAATGGCTACTTTGGAGATAGTTCAAGTTTTGGCAGAAAAAAGCTGTTGGATAGAAAAGGTCCTTTGGCGCTAACGTTTTCAAAAATCCGGTTAGATATATATGCGTAGTACAAAAGCGGCAAAAATTCAAGGAGTGGCTGGCCCTCGACAGCTTCTCTCCACCTAATTCGCTTGAACTAGTCAAATAATAAATTAGGGGTAAATCAGTTACGGAAACCTTAATGTGTGCCACTGGACAGCAAATATTTCCGAGGCCGATGATCTGATGATCAGTGTCGTAGTATATAAGTGATATCCGGTGTCTGTGTCAAATGGGATCATTTGTAGCCGTAATTATCGATTTTTTAGCTGAACCTTCTCCTTCTTCAGTTCGCAATTGTCAAATGCAAATGACGATACTGACAATACTTCTTTTAATTCCTGAATACAGATCCGGATCCTTGTATAGACGTATACTGTAATTATCACGGTCTGTGCAAGGCTTTTGGACCATACGATGCCCGCTGCGTGTGTATAGACAGTTGCCCATCCTTCCAAGTACCCGTATGTTCTTCCAATGGAACGACGTTTGACAACGACTGTTTCTATAAGCAGGAAATGTGTATGTTACAACTGAACCACACTGTGCAACATCCAGGGAGCTGTGAAGGTATTATTTGAAGTGGATGTTTGTGAAGTATCCATTGTTTCTTGCCTCTGTGCCCTTTCCGCTACCCTTCCCGCTCCAGCTAGAAAAAAAACTCACGACTACTAAGTTTAAGTTTAAAAAATTGCCTAAGTTAAAATTGCAACATTTTGGGTTTTAGAAGTCTGACTGTGTACGATGTTTCTGACAATGACGTACGTGAGGATGTTAACCAGACAAATAATACCGTATTCACTGTATGTATTATTATTTAAAATTCTAAAGATCAAAATTCCCAGCATTATGGCTGGAAGAATTTGAGCCTTTCAATATCCTCTATGGTCCTAAGAACAGCACTCATAATTCGAGGACGGCGCTCTGTCGAGTAACTAAGGAGGACGTGTTTAATTAATGAACCAGGTTAGCCCTATATACCTGCCTCGTCCCCAGTCGCACGCCATCACTTTTGGGGGATATTTGAGTTAATTATTAAGGAAAGCGGGGAAGAAGGGAGTGCGCTCTAAGCTCGTTCCCATCATTCCCCTTTCGCGCTTCTCGCTCTCGCGTGTTCCCAATCCCCAGTTAGTCTTGGGAAAGCCTGCGGAGGAGGCAGCCTTTTTATACGGCTGTAATTACTCATTATAAGTCTAAACGTTGCTCTTTAATTGTCTTAATGTGATTGTGGGTGACAAATAGCTAACAAATTGACCGAAAGAGAGTGTGTTGGCACCCTTCAGAGTTCTTACCACTGTGACATTTTGCCGACATTCCGTGACCTAGTATAAGTATACTGAAAAAGAAAGGCAAATCATAGAAACGATTTCTTGTATATCAAGCAGAATAGAAAAAAAAAAAAAAACATAAACATGATCCTCATGACATACCCTTCGACTGTCTCAGATTTGGGTCAGCCAATTGGTTTTACGGAGCAGCAATACGTTAATTAAGACATTACACCCCTATTTTCCCGAACGATCGTCGAGATCGAAGACTTTGCGTTTATGGGGGTCATCTTGGATGAGTGTCAAATCTACTCAGGGGCTATTAGCCCCGACTCGCGCCCCCTGGGTACATATGAAACCAAGATGGACACCCGTACTGGTAAGCGCTCAATCTTGACGGTCGTACGAAAAAATAGGGGACTGTGAACAGACTGTTATGACTGCCTATATCTATATTTATAAAAAGATTTTGAACGTCGAATTAAAACAAGAATATCGCGCTCTCATGGTTCTATTTCAAATTTCATTGTCTATTTCCTCGCACACAGTGGTTGTCGACCACCTTGCAGGCGAAAAATCTCTCAGTTATTGTCAAAGTTAAATTAATTTGTTTTGTTTCTGTTTAACTTTCCAGGATTCCCATATCAGCGCTCGCGACTTCACATGCCTCACATACCATCCTTGGGGTATTCGCATTGTGAAGTAATTCATCTACGACCATTCGTGTTCTATCCCGACAAACCCGTCCAAGTGCAGGTAACTGTTAATCACGTTGATACCAGGGACATGAACTATGTCCACGATGCTGCTGTGTCGTGGATTGAAGATGTGAGTGTCGAACAATTTACTGCTTGCGTGATGGCGGCGGGTTTTAACGAGCGCAAGTCACGTGCTAATGTGTCCTTAGACTGGATAGCTTATCAGGGAGCCCCAGATGGTGGGGTCTCTGGAGAAGTGCGCATGTCACAGTGGTGGACTGGGACAACATGCAAGACAGTGAATTTTCCTTCGGTAAGTAATTTCTACACCTCAGTGATTTACTTTTTCTATTACACTATACACAGTTGAGAAAGTATTACCTGTTTTCAAGCCCGGCGATGGGGGTAGTGGGATACCAATATACCCATTTTTTTTTTCTCATGAGATACATGTATTAGTATATACCTTAAAATTCTAAAATCTTTGACTCCAAATATCTAAAATTGCCTTGAATCCTTGAAATAGAACACGGCCGTATACCTAAAAATTATCCAGGGCCTAGTTGTTCGAAGGCCGATTACCACTAACCCAGGGTTAAATTTTAACCCATGTGTCTTTTTCTCTTTATCAATAGCACTTTCTCGGATAATTTACTCTATTCTTTTTGGAGTGTTCTATCATCAAATTGTAAACGAAAAGAATTAAACTGAATTTTCTTTTTAAGCTCTCATATCTGAATTGAAATTTCGCATTAAGCCTGAGTTATCTTGACCCAGCTTTGAACAACTCGGCCCAGGTTACTGAAAGATAACACACCCATATAACGAGTATAACTTTTAGTGCACTGCACTCGGTCATGAGCTATTTGCTTTCCCTCATTTGCCAGCCCCTTGAGCTTGCAACTTCGATCACTGTGTCAACATAAATCCTAATACTTAAGATTCAGGAAAACGAGATACTCTATACCCGCATTTTGACACCAAAATACCGTATACCTAGACACCCAAAAAGCCAAGCCACCTGCAAAATAAATTAAAAAGATGCCTTTTCAAACTCGAGCTTCGCCCCATTTAAGGAATTAAATCCAAGACAGTCTTGGGTTCTGGACTCCATGCTGTGGATTCCGGATTCAAGGTACTGGATTTCGGATTCTTTGTCAGTCTCCGGATTCCAGAGCCTAGTATTCCAGCTTGTAATAATACTTTGATTTTAAATTGACCGCATGTTGCTTTTTTTTCAGTCTAACGTTTTCTCCCATGGTCGTTATAAGGTTCCAGAGCAACCTTCAGTTTTCATAACTGCTGCACATCATCGTGCTGGACTGAAGAGAGACGCAGCCAGCGTTTGGTTGGAAGACATTTCGCTATCGTCATTCAAGATATGTTTGAGGGAGCTACAAAATTACGCAGGCTCACATGAAGATATTTCCGTTGTATGTTTTTCTTCCATGCTCTCTTTCTTTTCTACGTTGTTTTCGACATATTCGCTTTTCCTGTTTAGGCGACAGAAAGATACGACTGCATATTACACTAGCATTTAAGGAATGTTTCTCTTTTTTACCTTTTTTCTCCGTTCGTTTCTTTGTTATAGAACTGGCTGGCTTTTTCATCAATTGAGACGCCCTTTTTCTCGGAGCACAACTCAATATATTTTGCCAACTCTCAGCCTCCTCAAGCCTGGAACAATAACGCATTCTGTAGGGTCAGCATATAATCTCTTGTTTGATATTAATACGTTGTACTTGTATTGTTTTCGTTAACTCCTCTTTGCATCGAAGTTTGAAATCTGTTGTTCTGGTTCATTAGGATATTTCCTTTGTTAAAGTGTACAAGAATGCCCCAAGTGTTTTTGTATCAGCGAATCACACTTCAAGTGTGGGAGGCGTGGATCCGATGCACAACTCCATAACAGCTTGGGTTGAGGTGAGTGTGGTATTGTAGACAAACGTAAATATATAGGCAAACATTACTTCCGTTAACATCACTAACATATGGTAATAAATTCTGTACCCTTTACATTAGCATTTGTAATAATTGTTTGATGATAACCTTAAGTTTACTTTCCTTTAGTACATCAACACAACAGGAGCTCGAGTGTGTTTAAAGGAATTGTACGAGTCAAAATATGACCCTCTCTCCGTATCATATACCGTCATGACAGGTAAGGGCGCATTTTAATTCTGCGGGTTTTACCTACTAAAAACTAAATCGAGGTTAAAAAGGAAAACTAAAATACACCGTAGAGCCTTTTCAAGCCATTTTAACAGGAGGTTAAATCCGCCATGTTGGTGTCCTACACCAGCTCGCTGGGAGTTAAATTCTTGTCTTATATAAACGCTTTCTCATCAAAATTTAAAAAAAATAGCTTTTTAAAGCACGTGATTTAAAACACTCTATTAAGATATTCCAGCCCCTTGCTTTATTAAGTATTACGAATTGTCATACGCTTAAAATGCTGTAGACCAGTGTCAACTTTGTAGTTAAAGGCAAAAAGAGAACAGAGGAGTAATAGGGTCTTTTTAAAATGCATTTTTTCTGAGTTGAAATTTGCCACAAATGTCACATATTTTCCTGCATTTTTGAAGCCGTCATAGTTAATCTCCGAGAACGTTGACTTGTATGTTGTGTTTGCTTGTTTCGAATGAAAGCCGTCAGATAACAGCAGCGACTTTTTTCATGACGTAAACAGGTTACGATAAAAAGTGATTCAGCTCAAGTCTCGGCATGATCACTGAACCAATTCCCGGCTACGTCACTCAACTGACTGATTAGTAAAAAGGGACTAGCCTGCGTAGCAAGCGTTTCCGCGCGAGTTAGTCGAGAGAGTTGGGACGAGAGCAATTTCCGCGCGAGTTAGTCGAAAAAGTTTGGACGACAGCAAATAACTCGATTGGAAACGCTTACTACGTAGGCTAATAAGGGACTGGCTATCAACTTAAGTACGTCCGTATTCTAATTTCATCTGTTGTCAGCTAATATAAGGCACGTCCTTTTCTAGCTTGCTCTTGACACGCACGTGCGTCATTTTCATAAACTCAATCCGATATAGGTACTGTTTTTATTTTTTTATATAAACGCGTTTACCCCGAATGGAGGTATAAAGCACAAGTGGGATCTATGGTACTCTTTTGCCAAAAGACGTCCAAAGGAAATATACAGAATTGCAATCTTAATTTTTGCTATCCCACTCTCATTTTATATTTTTTATCACATGCAGATATTTGCCAGACAGAATGGAGTTATTTTGATGGCTACTGTTACTTAACAAGTCGGGCATGCGCCACGTGGCTCACCGCTCAATCAAACTGCTCTACAATGAGTTCCAATTTAGTAACAGTTTACAGCCAAGAGGAGAATGTTTACATTCAACACCGTCACAACGGAGAAAGATCCTGGATCGGACTCAATGACCGAAGTGTGGAGGGTTCCTTTGCGTGGGCAAGCAAAGATACAAGTAATTTCGAACTCTGGGCACCGAATCAACCGAACGACTGGAAGAACGAAGACTGTGTTCACACTCTTGGTGCTCGTCATCGCTACGAATGGAATGATGTATCGTGTGATAACTGCTTCAACTACACTTGTTTTAAAGGTAGTTTTATAATATACTGTGATATCAAGTTTTAACTTTATCTTAGCTAGAGGCTACCCGCAAATAGTAGGGTTATTCTAGGCGGGCTGAACAAAACTCACTAGGTTATTTTATTCTTTTGAATTGATGAATGCTTCATCGTAATCGTCCTCAGTTTGCATGAGATAACATAAAGTTAACAAACATTTTTAAAAGGCTTTTTTGGATATTAGCGTATTTCATAACTTGCCTCCAATGATGGATGATGGAACCCTTCCCCAGAGTTTTATATGTTAAAATATTTCGAAACTATTTTGCCTTTGATATCATCAACAAGATGAGGTATATTTTATGTGTGGAGGCGCTGCTGGAGGCCTGGACGTCACCAACAAAGATTGCCATCTTGGCTTGGATTTTACCAAGAATTAGAAATTAAGTTCAAGTTAAAATGGTAATTTTTTGAGCTTGACGTGTAAAATAACACCGGCCCCAGGAATCGAACCTGCGACATCCCGCTCTGCAGTCGAGCGCTCTACCGACTGAGCTAATCCTAGCTCGACCCACTACCCACGACTCACGACATTTAGCTACACTCCCTAAAAACGCTTGCGTGGGAGACTATTCCATTTGCCGTGCCTGAGAAAACATGGGCTCGATCTGATTTGAGGGGGGCCGGGGATACAATTTTTCCACTCTTTTTCGTCTGTTCAGCTGATTTAGATATACATTGCAGCGGGTCGTTCTCTCACCACGTCAAATTTTTATAGTTTTATGTTTATGTACAAGACTTAAAACCGTGTGGCCGTGTAAATGGTAAGCACTCCCTAGGACGCCCAAATGCGAGTGATTAATAAATTCATTTTTTCTCAGTGCAAGTCTGAACGAATTTTGACAACATACGTGCCGCGCATGTGTACTAGTTACAATCTGCAGAGTAGGAAGTAAGTGGCCTCCTCTGCTCGCCCGCAATAATGCAACCCCCGTTCTTAATTATTTGTAGTCACCTCAGTTGCATAAAGCGGGAACAAATTCCAAAATTCAAAGTGACGCTACCTTTGTAAAGATATGTGATTATAACACGGAGTACTTTGCTCTTTTCAGACTTGGACGAATGTGCTACTAATGCCTATACTTGCGGTGTCAATGCTGAATGCCGGAATACCGTGGGTTCATACATATGTGTATGCAAAGTCGGATACACTGGAGATGCTTACACGACCTGCACAGGTATTAGGCAATTAAATTAATAGAAAACAAACAAGCAAACAGAGGAAGATAAAAAATCGAAGGAAATATTTACAAGGCAACTACTCACCAAGATTATTTTCGTATACAAACAGAGTGATTTCAACGGAATGTAAAAAAAAAAAAAAACATTTAAAATGACTCCCTTAATCAAAAATTCGAACAAGTAGGCGTACCCAGTAGATGTGCTACAATTACATCTTTACAGTATTTTCAAGGATATCATAGATTCTCAATAATTGTGTAAGCTATAGCATCAATGGTTGAAAAGGGATCGTCAAAAGTTTAAATGACTACCTCGATCTGAGAAGAAATTGAGAGCTTCATTTGCTTCTGTCAAAATTAACTCACAAATAAAAAAAGGGGTTTTTTTGTCGCTTCTTGAAAGTGCTTACAATGGCGGCTCCGATCGTCGTGAGACTTGTTTAAATGTTGTGTTCTTTGCCTTGCTTATTCTTGGTAGCACGAACAGCTTTTCGAAAATACTTACTTTGATTTTTTTCCTTCATAAGTTAACTTCGATTTCAAGGCGAATTTCTTCTTGTGAGGAAATACCGAGTTTACAAAACGGCCTCGTTCTCCTTTTAATAGCTCCGTGGTTGTAAAAATTTCTTTGAGGGTAAAAGTCGCAGCTACAGCTAATCACTTTGCATTAAATCACGCTGTTTAAAACACTTGAAGTCTTTTCTATTCCGTCTTCAAAACCATCGACGCTAGGATTTTCTCAATGTGTTTAAAAAGTTCTTACTCTAAAACTTTGCGTCAAAACACTAAGAGGGGGGTCAGTTATTTCAACAAAGTCTAAATTGGGCCACGGTTTTGCAAGTCTTTGCACCTCCAAATATCTTCCTTAGTGGGTAATTTTAAGAAAATAAGTGCTTTTCGTTCTCCAGTGTATACGTTGCGCTTTCACGAAACTTACACTATAGTAAGTGTTGATTTAAAAGGGTTGGGGAAATTGAAAATGGCTTATAGAACGCGGTTTTGTTAAACACTGCCGGGCTAAACTCCGATTAAATAACTGGCCCTAAGGGTTAACAAAACCGCGTTCGAAGCATTTTTAGTTTTGCCAAACGCTCATATCAAAAGAACGTTTATCAAACAAATCAGATTGGGATTGGTTTGAAATCGCCAAGATCAATTAGTGTATATATACTAAAATAAATTTTTCACGTCTTGTTGCCCTTTAGAGGCTACTCAGGCTGGGCATTCGTGCCCGAGATGGAACAAATTATTATTCCCATGACTGAGCTCCAATGCCTCCTGTTAAATTCAAAAATTAGATAAACTATAAAGTTATGACTATAAATGGCAGTATTTTTCTTTTCGTAGATATCAACGAGTGCACCAGGAGAACTCACAACTGTCATCCTTCACTTGGTAGATGTGTTAATACAGTTGGATCCTTTAGCTGTTTTTGCATCAATCAATTTACGGGCGATGGAAGAATTTGCAGTCGTCTAGTAGACGGTAAGTACACTGGCAAACATCTGAAAGAGGGGTCTTCCTTCGGTGCCTTGCTTCAGTCTGCAACATATCTCAGTATGACCAGCTTGCTCTACTCCATGTAACTAACACTTCGTAACTAACAATTCGTCGGGTGCGCTCCCGATAACCTGTGATCAGGCTTTTTTTTTTAGGGGAAAGGAAAAAAAACTCCTGATACATTTACTTCACGAGTCGTCTACCACCCCCTAATTAAAGTATCTGTCAAAATTAGTGTCATCGTGTCAAATTTTACCGGAAATTCAAGCGGTTTGCAATTGAAATGTATATTGATACAATAGTCGTTAGCGAAAACATCACAGATTTTAAAGGCCAAGTTGGCACGTACTGCTGTTATTGCGAATCTTGCCTTATCGTTGCCGTGTGGTACTTTTGTTCAAACCGTCAAGTCAAACAAATTTTAAATAATTCATTGAAATAATTAATTCATGCACGAAGTATTATTATTCAATTCAGAATATTTAATCCGTGTACAAGGACCAAAGGCCGTCGAAATGCAATACAAAATAATGAAACAGCTTTAAAGCTTATTGACGGCTTTCGGAAGACAAGCGACGTTACATGCCTGGAAACGTACAGTATAAAAATATATATATTAAAAAAAACATGCACTGTATAGTAGTGAAACGTGAATAAACTTAATTTACGTCGATTTCTACCGGACTTTGCTAGCGCTCGTAACCGAAACTAAGCTGAGATCAGGCTCTGCTTTTCCAGCTTTCCTGGGTAAATAGATTCCAGGCGGGTAAGCAAACCGAAAAGTCTCCCATTTTATTTCATTTTATCCATGGCATGCATATTAGTCGGTACAACACGGGCATTCCGAAAATGTGATAAAAGAGCGCCGCTGACCAAGAATAGGCTGTGGGCTCCTTTTGTCGCCCGCAATTATGTCGCGGCTACTTGGTGTCCACACTTATAAAGAGCTATATATAAAGAGTTCAACTTTGGTAGCCATATCTGTCAGGAAGTGTGCGACAAAGAGGAGACCCTGACATGTACGGATATACCTTTCCAAACGTTTCGTATTGCTTGTTGATCTAAATTGAAAACCAGGTGAAATACTGAGAACGCCAGCGTTAGGAGCAGTTTACAAAACAAGTGCTGCTCTCGTTATCATCTTCATCTTAATCACTATCATCATCATCACCATCATCATCACCATTATCATCATCATCATCATTATAATTACTATCAACATTTATTAATTAAGTTTTCGACATTATTTTTTGTCAGAATGCCAGGCTGAACCCGGTCCGCCTTACAAAGATAGGGACAAGCGTAAAGGATATATGAGTCTTACCAACGCTGACAGGACGGTGAATTTCGGCATCAGTGTCAAGAAGACTGACAAGGGAGAGAAGGGATGGTTCCGTTTTGAGGGGAGCGCAGGCACAAAAATGAAAGACTCATGTCCGAGATATAGTTATAGATATAGTCAACCACGTTCGAATACGTGCAACACTAACGCACCTGGCTGGATGAGCGGTAGTGAGCCCAACGTCAATGACGGTCAGGTCACCAGGACGGCGTGTTTTACCTGGAATTCTAACTGCTGTTACTGGTCAACAAGCATCACAGTGAGAAATTGTGGTTCATATTTAGTGTACCATCTCACCAGCACACCCGATGATGGTACTCACTCCCTTCGCTACTGTGGTAATGGCTGACTAAGCAGCAAACAAAAACTTAACGCTTCCTTTCATTGGTTTCAAATCATAGTTATAACAATAATAACAATAACATTAACATTGATAATAGCGGTTTTTTTGAAGCATAAATTCAGTAGTTCTACATCGTGAAATAAAACATCTTAGACCTAGAACATACAAAAAAATTAGGTATAGTCACACAATCAATTAATACAGTTTACTTGCAACTCGATCCGAAGAACAATAGCAGCAACAAACAATAGTGATGCAAAATAAAAAAGTCAGACCTAAGTAGAAAACGTATGCTCAGTTGCTTGTGGGTGACTTTATTCTACGTTTCGATGTATCCAACATCATTATCAAGAATGGAAAAACGATGTATGTCAAATTTATAAAAAGTTTAAGTACTTGATTATCATTAAATGGTTCCCTCCCCTCCACAGAGGTCTCTATGAAACCAAGAGAGGCTGGGGAGGTGGTGGGAGGGGAGAGGAAAACGAGCGTCGGACAATGAGAAGGGAGACGAGAAGAAGACAGGCTCCCGCCTTTTCCCCTCTCCATGGCCCCCTGTGCGCAACAATGGTGACTGGGTGGCATGAGTTGGTTCCCATACAAATCCTTCTAATTTTCGGCGGTCGTTGCAATCGCTATTTCTGAGATATACGGCTGAAAATTTACCTAATTTTAATACGCTCTTTCAGTTCTGCCAGTAAAATTATTCAAGCTCGAACTTTTTTCGTGGGTAAAGAAAGTTGATCACGTGACCAACTATTGCAAAAGGCCTATTAGTCTGCAAGGTTACTCTCGCACGTGATAGTTAGTTTCTGGACCCTATGCTATTTCATTTGCTTCCCAATCGAAGATTTTGAGCTGGAGGAGTCTCGATTTGTAAAACCGACAAAATCCATATCCCATAGACTACATTCAGAAATTAAATACCACGCACTCAAATGATCTTCGGTCAACGTTTTGGCTCCATAGGACCTATAGTCCAGAGGATGTTGCAGATTTTCTTGCTACTGAGAAAAGGTTGCAGAGAGACGCCAATTTTTGTTTCCTTGTGTTCTCCGCATTATTTTGGTCAACGAAAGGAAGGGAAAACATGACCTTACGAAGAGTGTTGCTCTTGTCTGTTGTGTAACTTCGCAATTCACAGCCCGCTACGTCGTCTGGCGTCAATCAGCTGGGAAGGATTTCGAAAGCGTGACATTCGTCAGTGACAAATTTTATTCTTGGTTATAATGTTGGATACATCAAAAGGTCGAATGACGTAACCACAAATTTTTCTCAGTTTTTAATCATGACACAAGAATCTTTACTAAAAACAACGTTACCGTAGACCTTGCCTGTAAATTATTTGATACGATGATTTCTACCGATTCTGACAGATAACAGTGAAATTTGGGGTGTGTATGCCAAACCAGACTTTAATCCTGATTTATTAGATACCGCTAAAGAAAAATGCTCTGTAGGTTTAATGAACCAGGAATACATATCATATTGGAGAAATACCCTTCAACATTCTCAAAAACTAGAAATTTATAGATCTTTTAAAACTGATCATACTACTTCTAATTACCTACTAGACTTATAACAGGAACAACTGAGAGACGAGCATTAGAAAAATTACGAATAAGAAATCAGAAACTAATGATAGAATTAGGCAGATAAAAGGCATTGCCCTCCTTGTGGATCAAATCTAATAGAAGACGAAGTTTACTTTGTTTTTCGTTGTTCAACATACTCTGTGATTAGGTGAACAACTTTAAGAATAGGGTCAATACTCTGATTCTAAATATTACCCAGTTACCAGTAAAAGTTTTGATCAATGAACTGATAAACTCACCTTATTACTTTATCAATATACAATTTCTGAAATTTATGTCAGCTTAATTTGATCTTCGTGACAAGTTATAACCTATTGAAATGTTTCAATGTAGTTTTTCAGAGGCCATACCGATATTTTTCAATCGCTTTAAAAGTGATTTTATCCTTGTCTGACGGCTATAAAATTTTCACCAGTGAATGACTATAGATTGAAATTTGTCAAACTGTAGGTTTTAGTAAAATCGATATTACTATGGCAACAATAAAAAAAAAAAACTTTGAAATTGATAAACGTCTAATTTTGAGCGATCTAGCCTGACCAGCTACTGAGTATCCAACACTAGGAACGTAAAGTTTGGTGTTTAGCAAATAACCTCCGTAAGAAGTAAAACAGAAGTAAAGAAGTAAGAAGTGAAAAATTTCGGTATGGCCTCTAAAAAACTGTATCGAAGCCCCTTAATTGCAATATGATAAAAAATTTAAGAAGTACAAAACAGCTTTTGCAATACTGCATGTACTTATATGATCATGCAAATAAAGCTCAATTTTTTGTTGTTGTGTATGTGATGAGAAATTTGTTTTAAAAGTTAGGACAATGCAGTAACAGGTGATTCGAGGTTTCAAAGTGAGATTTACTCATAATAACAATAGTTTTAGTTTTCTCACTTAGGTCGCTCTCAGTTCTTGGATTGTAACATATAAGGCATATGGATGGCATTATTATTATTATTATTATTATTATTATTATTATTACTATTACTATTATTATTATTATTATTATTATTATATTATTATGACTATTATTATTATTGTTATTATTATTATTGTCATCATCATTATTATTAAGACAATCGAACGTTAAACTGAAAAAGAACATTTTAAAAGACTGAGCATCTTGCTATACTAGAAGCTCTTGTATACATATTTGCGCACTACTATGATCATCCTATGGCTTCTGTAAGAGATGTAGCATGGGACCAGGCCCCGCAATGGGGGAAAAGGCGAAAATGTCAGAGGCTGTAAAAGCTGTAAATTCTCCCCAGAAATCCAGTTACTGGTACCCTCAGTAAGCCCCAAAACGTTCCAAGTTGTGAGAGTTAAATTCAAGCTTGGAAGGGCTGGAAGAGAAGTGGGAGCGGATAAAAATATAAATAAAAGAATACCAGCTTTCCCTCGATGCAGTTTTAAATACCACTTCAACTTATGCCGATCAGGATTGTTACTAAAGCGTATCAGTTACACTATCTACTGCATACTGGAAACCTATTTCTCTTTTCGGTTGATATTGACTACCATTATGACTCTCATTAGCTTGTGTATAAATTGTGTATGTTTTTGTTTCCCACTAAGTGCCACGTGGTGTACTTATCGGAAAGCCCAGCGTTCTTTCTGGTTCTTTGTCGTTTCATAAGTTATGCTTACATATACACATGACTGGGGGGAAATTTGAAAGAAACAGCTCTCAGGAGTAATGTCACTGGACCATCAAACAACAAACCATACAAGCTAAGGGGCTCTATTATGGTATTCACTAACATCAATAGAGCGGCGCCTTGCCAGATGCAGTATATGATGAAAGTGGTACGCTCTTGGCCACTTTAGCTATGATCCTGATCACCTTACATACAGAAATAATAATAATAATAATAATAATAATAATAATAATAATAATAATAATAATAATAATAATAATAATAATAATGATGATGATGTTTCAAGCTGCCTTTAAATATAGCGGTAATCATTGTAAAGCTGGTAATCTCAACAGCTTTCGCTTAAAGATTAGAGTGAGGATATTCTACATTTCAGTTAATTTACCACTGTACTTAGCTTCGAGTTTAAAGGTTACTTTTTTCCTTTTTGTTTTCAAGTATAGTAAATGATCCCTTTAGTGCTTACTTGCAGGCGCTTTCAAGTGTTTCTCTTTCGATACTTTTCAACAACAAGGTTGCCTGGTCCTGTTGATTACTGGATGGCTTACTGAACATAGAGATACTAAAATAGCGAGAGGTAAACAAAAGAATACAATAGAATTAGTGCATAATAGTGCGTAGCATTCTACTACCTGTTTCACGGTTCAAGTAAAATCACGCTAACAATGGAAGTACTGGCTGCTACCTTATCTAAATAAAAGTGTACTGTACTTTAAAGTCCTCCGGCAAGTACTCTGGTGTGAGGTCAGTTGACTAGCTAAAGTAAAGGAGGAAAGAAGAACGGCTATTCTGGCTAGTTGAAGTAAACTCGTGCATGAACAAGTTAGCCTACGAGCAAGCCCCCTATTTGGGGCTCCCCATTCCCGCAAGCCACTCCATTTAAGGTCAGTTTAGCCAAGAGATCCCCTCTTGGTTCAGCGTATCAGGTACACCTTCTGATTCGTCTATGTAAGGGGAGTCCGGTTTTCGGAATCCTGGAAATTCTGGATTGCAGAATTCAGTATCTATATAGGCCATTTTTGCGCTGGAATACGGAATCCTGGGTTTTTAAATCCGGAATACAGCTTAAGGAATATCCGGAATCCGACTAACGATTGGAATCCAGTTCCTGGAATCCGGAATCCATGGCCTGGAATCCCAAATCTAAGATTGACTTGGATTCCCTTATATGGGCCGAACTGATATATGCCGACGGACGGCCTTCTTGGTAAGCTCTTGCTACTAGGGAATGCCAGTATATAAACCCCTCTCTAGGCTGTACATTTTGTTTACCAAGTGCGAGTCATATGAGAAGGTATCAAGGAAGGTTTCCTCAATCTTTTAATAAACTATGAGTACATATGCACGTGAATGAAGCCAAATTTGAACTTAACAGATATCCAGGGTAGTAGATGTATCACGTAACCTGTCAGTGAAGAAAGCAATAACGCCCATGACTTGTTTTATTTTTTCTCCTTTTATACCCGGTATCACCTTTTCTTTTAGATCCGTCGAGTTCTCAGACGGAATGAGCGCGTAGGCACTAAAAACACTTTTCCAGTGATTTTGAAGAAAATAAAAGACTGCTCGCAGTCTACAGTAGCACGAGAAAAAAGCGCAAAATCAAAGGGTGGGTAAAAGAAATACCGTTTGCCGGGTTAAATATGCCACTCCGTGGTAGAAGGCAAAGATTGCCGAGCTGTATCTCTTAATTACTCAAACAAACCACAAAATCCTTCTTCTACGCATGCTATGCAAGCTGTCCTTTCTCATCTTTATTAAAGTATGATTTTTACCCTCACATTTATGATGATTATGATTCTGTCTCGTGGCCAGAGATGATGTAAATGTTACTGAGAAAAGTAATCAAAATTGATTTAACAGGCCTTTCTCCCACGAGTCTGAGGAGTTTTTAATTATTATCCACACGTCCAGCTTTTACTTACGCGCAGGTGCTTCTAAACGATCGACAAATTTTATAACATATTGTGTCTATTTTTAGATGAAATGGAGCATTTGAGTGCGGGCGTAGACCAAACTTATGTCATTTACAGTGTATAGCACTCCAGAAGATACCATTCTGACTGTTCTGGAACATTTAGTTGCTGTATTACGTCAATTAATGTACTGAATCCACGTATTGCCGGGCACCTTGCTTTTGATTCCTATATGACAAGTGTGATATCTTCTATAGTAATATTAAATAATATATATATTTAGCCAAGCCTAAAAGCGGAGCTCCCGATTTCATTACGTAATAATAACTATAATACAATATAGCCTAACTGATACCTGCCAGTTGGTATCAAGTTGTAGTCTACCACGCAACCACATTTGTTAAGCGTTTTGCTGCTTGATGAGTCAAAAATAGCTGCTTGGGAGACTAATCAAAGTCTGATGTTTTCCCCTTGGAAATGGTGTAAAATTTCCCTTTCTTTCCAAAAAATAGATTTATAAATCCTTCGCTTAACACTTTGAATATAGATCTGGAAACCAAATGTTATGTAACTGAGTCAACTAAATCACAACAGTTAAATATTTCCTTTATGGTCATGATTATTTAATTGTCATTGCTTCAAGCAGACCTTCCAAGTTATTACATGTAATAATAGTAATAATAATAATAATACTAATAATAATAAGTAATGGTAACAGGACTGAGTGGAGTCCAATTCGGTCTGTAATCATACGAATGATTAACAAAATCGGACGACCGTGTAGCGGGAGTCCAATTTGTTTCATCACGAGTATGATTACAGATCGAATTGGATGACACGAAGTTCTGTTACCAGTTAATCATAACTTTAACAAAATTTGTGATATATAGGGCTCTTTTTAAATCAAAACACAAGAAATTCCAAGATTTTTCGCTAACAATGAAAAAAAAAGCCATTTAAGGGCGCGCATGATGGCGCGTACTGTCCAATTACTTAGGCATGACGCGTACTGTCCTATTAAACTGTCCTATGAAGACTGAAATCAGGGCAGTTGAGAACCAATCAGATTTGAGAATTTTGTTATAGTTATGATGATAATAATAATAACAATAATAATAGCTAAAGCAATCTATTTAACAAATCGACCACAATTTTCCATGGTGTACACTCTTAGGGGTGCATGTTTACATGACACTGGGGCAACTTTCGCCCTGACGCAAGTTCACTCTGGTTCCCTCTCATGGCTCTACATTTGTTTACATAATACCACCATGCCGGCACAAGTCACTCCAGCGTCAGTTCACCCCGGTCGTTGCAGCACGGCGAGAATTTCACTCCGGTACAAAATCTCCCAACAGTATCATCTAAACGCGAAACAACCACTTGCTGCGGTGTGAAATCGGTCTGCCGGTGGACTGGAACAGGTAGCGCATGCTTAATGTTTGCAATTTTGAATCACACATATTTTATTCACATGAAGTGTACCCTCAAACAACGAGATATAAAATGACCCAGTTATCATGTAAATGGCATACAAAATCAAAAAGTCATCCTGGTAGGAAATTCGCGCAGGTGCGAGTTTTCTCATGTAAACACCCCCTTATATACCACAGAAATTATGTCATAACAAGTTCAAAACTCAACTGGAACCACGAGTCGCACTGCAAAGTTTTGAACATTTTATGGCATCATTTCTACAGTCTACAAGAGCCCGTACGTAACTTGCAGATCTGCCGAAGGCCTTTCTCAGGTCTGTCACAGGTCTGTTCAGTCATACAGCAGACCAATTTGACGCAAAACTGAAGTCTGCAAGTCTGCATACTGTCTGTGACAGACATCTCATGAAAATGACTTCTTCTTTGACTGTGTGTTGCCTTTTATCTTGTTTGCAGCAAGTCTGTTGCAGACCTTTCGTGACTTTTGGTGATTATGCAATAAGGATCTATTATTATGTCTGCACTTGATCTGCAGCAGACGCTGTGCAGACAACCACCCGCACGAAACTTGCGGCGCTGTACAGCGCCACAAAATCGCTCAAAATAGCTGTACAGCTAAATTACAGCTGTTCAGCAGCCTTTTAGAAGCCAAACAGCAGCTTCATTCAAGTTGCAGCGGGCTGCAAAAGCGCTGTGCAGCCTTTG